CCCGTGTATAAAGGAAGCATTCTGAAGGAATGCTAAGTTACCACAAAAGTTGTTGCATTTATTAGCCCGTTCTGGAGACAACAGCTGCTGCTTATAGGACAAAGCACATTTAAAGTAATGTCAGGAACAGTATGTAAGACTAGCACAAACTCACTGTCAGAAATAACTCCGCTTTGAGGAAAAAGTCACTTGAGAGAGAACTTTTAGGTGGGGTTAGGTTTTAAATAATTGCCATTTATAAATGAATCTCACAACCTTTTGGAGCCTGGCTTACTAACACTTCAAGGCCCGATTGAATCGGTTTCTAAAGGGTGGGCAGTGATTCCCTGGTCTGACTGCCAAAAAAAATTGGCAGTGTCAAAAGAACAAAGACACACTCTTTAGAGATTCAATTTAGGACAGTGATTGCTCTGAAAACCATAAACTAATTTGGTGGCTGGCACATCACAACCCTACTCTTATGAGAGTCCAATCTTCCTAAGTCACCACACTTGAAGAAAAACTTATTGGGAACAAAGCTCGAATTCCTTTTTTTTTTTTTAGTATCAACTGCTTTGTTACATTTCTCATTTATATTGAGGAGAATCAAAGGAAGCTTTTATGAGCCTGAACCAAAACCCACTGAAGTCAATGGAAAGACTCCTATTTACTTTAATGGACTTGGATCAGGTCCTGTAAGAACAGATGCTGTATGTCTAAAAGCTTCTCTTAGCTTAAAGTTTTTCTTGTGCATCTGGCAATGCAGGACTATTGCAGTTTTCATTTTTGTGTATCATATTTTAGGATACTGTGTTAGCTGGGCTGGTGTCTGGGGACCTGATCCTCCTCCCACTGAGGCAAATGGAAAAGCTCCCAACTGTGTCGGTGGATGCAGGATTTGGACCTGAAATAAGTAGATTCCTCTTTGCGACTTATTGTGCTATTAAATTTCAATATGACTTCTTTGATGTCTGTGAGGTATGCTCCTGATCACAAAACTTCTGAAAGAAACTCTCAGATCAACATAGAAAATTGAATGTCAAATATTTTTGAAAGGAAAATCTGTCGAGAAAAAAACAAGGGTACACGAGGGTGGGTGAAGCCAGTGTTTTGGCACTCCCAGCTGCTGCTCCTGGTTTGAAAGTAGGTCAAGGAATTGCCAAGGAAGAAAGAGGTTTTGCAAGTGTTATGGTGCTGCTGGTCACAGGCTAAGGCTGTGTTATACCATGGCACCAAGTGATTTCTCAAAGAACTTGCCACAGTTCTATGGCTTGGAAATTCTCTGGCTGAGCTCACATGACGTAGCCAAGATCTTTCGCCCACCTCTTCCTTGACATTTTGTAGCCTGACTTACGCTATTGAATTGCATTAAACTCTTACTTCCATTGCTAATTGGAAATCAGTTTACTACTGATCCTAGAGTTACCTTCACTGGTAACAATTAATTTTTTTCTGATAAAACTACATACAAGATTTTGTTCCTCTTTTTAAATGCATTGTTCCCTGAATACAGGATGGCAAGGCAGTTCCCCCTTCACTAGAGAAATTCTTGCTGCTGATGGTGGGGGGCAAACACATTTAATTTGTTGTCTAATTGTCAAGTAAAGTCACAGACTGAAATTTTTTAGATAGAAAGGAGTTAAAGAAAAATTGTTGGAAACAGATTGCTAATCAGCCTTATGGGTCTAGGCGAACAGTACTTTCTCCTTACTGGAACACAGCCATAGTGTAGAAATAGACTGAAGTCATAGAAGAGGGCTGCAATAATTGCTTTTACTTTATATTAAAACATTTTTGCTGTGATAACATCTGGGCCTACAGCTAAATTTGCCTTCAGATTATTTAAAAATGTTTCCACTTCTTAAGAGTGAAAGGTGCACTTACTATTTTGTGTCAGGAGTGATAATGGGAAAGAGAATTCAATGTCATGGGTCTGATTTTCACAAGATCAGGCATGTAACTGAACATGCAAAAATGGGAGTATATTTGCATGTCTAATTTATGCCTATATTACCCTATTTTAATCTACAGTCATAGTAATCTGCACACACAATTGATGCTTGGAGCAGTTTACAAACTGGGGCGTGGCAGCAATGCTTAGGCAGCTTTGCAAATGCCAGCTGGTGAAAACGTAGGCACATACGGGCTTAGGTGGCAGCTGAGTTTTGAGACCAACAGTGGTGCCTAAATCAGGTGGATGTCGACACTTACTTATCTGTGGCCCTAACTCTATATGTGCTTCATTTCCCCTTCGGTAGAATTGAGATGATAATACTTCCTCACCGCGCAGGGGTGTTATAAGGGCAAGTTAATCATCTATCAACACAACTCTGAAGGTACAAATGCCTTGAGTTTGTAAGCAGAGTCAAGATGAGCTCTACCTGACATTTGGTGGTGAATTATGGTGAGTGTGGAAAAGAACTCCCGGGGCTGATCTTGTTTGCATAGGCACACCCACCTCGCCTAGCATGAAACAACAGCAACTGAAAGTGGTTACTTTGGCTGGTGTGGGATCCCCAGTTTCTCTGTTATTGGGGCAGGAAGAATAAAGTTTTGTTACCCTGATTCTGTGAATCAAGGCC